TTTTTGGCCCCCCCCCAAAAAAAAAAAAAAAAATACACACACACACACACACACACACACACACACACACTAATTTGCAGCTATGCAGATGCAACTTTAAAGTGGGAATCAGTTCCAGTCTTGAATCTAGCTTTAATTCTGCTTTTGTTTTTGGGTTTGTTTGTTTGTTTTTTTTCCTTTTTTCCCCAGCACACTAAGGGGAACATTCAGCTCAACCCCTCTTGACTGGCAATCAGTGAGTTAAATTCAGACTCTCCCTTGTCTTGCTCCAATTCACCAGAAGGTGAAGCCATAACATGTGAGCTAAACAACTGCTTTTTTAACATCCTTCATTTTGTGGCCGACTGAGGCATTTTTACATCTAGTGTAATTCTTGGTGGAAAAGGAGAAGGAGTAAAGGGAAGAGTAACAGAGGCAGGAGGCTTGTCACCATATTCAGTGATACAAATCGGTACGGTAAAGGAAGTAATAGTGTTTGAACATACGGTAATGTATTTTATCATGATAATGAAGTGGAAGAAGAATCAAGGAGAGGTATGGTCACACACACAAAACCAGCAATGATAGTGGCTTAGCTACCCATGAACAAATACTGAGCTATGCTCTCTTTGGGGGAGTGGAGTGACATGGATTAATTGAGGAAAGGTTGATGACTGCATAAACAAATGGGAGTGGCCCCAGTGACTGCCCAGAAAGGAAATACACCACTTGTTTGTCACCCATCAGTAAGGACTTTGCAATGCCCTCAGGAGCTTACACTGTCTATGAAACACTGTACTAAACAACCTAACATGTCTTACAAACACTTGCCTCGTGGCGCCCCGGCCAATCTTGAGCAGCTTACTGCTTCCTTACATTTCCTTATCTCTGGCCACAGGCCCCAACTACACCATGACTTACTGATGAAGTTAGCCTGGCCAGTGAATATGGTGTACTGAAGCTCATAGGAGCTGATGCTGAACTCATCATCCGAGATCCAGTGGACTGTAATGGTGTCATGGGAGGCAGTACAGAGTTCCTCTCGGATAGATGGTGGGTTTGGGGCTGTAAGGAAATGTGGAAAAGAAGGTAAGGAAAGCACACTCTCTTCCAGAATTTTACAATTGTCACTCTTCCACCTAATCCAACATCTCTTGGAGAGGTTTTCTTAATAGAGAAGTTTTGGATCACATGAACCATGCCACCTGAAACAAAGTGCTGAGATCTCAAGATCCCCAAAACAACTTTTGCTTCAACAGTGAAGATCTAAGCCTAAGTTATTGCGATGGTTGTTCCAGCTGTCTAGTCTGTCTGTATACACATTTATATAGACATTAGAGCAAAGTGGTCACACAGTTTTCTTACTACATGATCCTCAACCTATTTCTTTCTGCTTCAAAATAAGTTCTATTACATATTTTTGGCAGTATAGTCAAGTGCAAATTAATAAGTTCCCTCATCTGTAAAATGGGGATGACAATTACCTTACAGATTTGTTGTGAGGATTAATGATATAAAATTAATATACAATGTCTGGCATAAAGTAGATGTTCAAAAAATGATAGCTATGATAATATATTAATAAAAACAGCTATAAACATAAAGTAACTGTGTGTATATTTTTCTCATGAAATGATCATTCGATAATCCTGAAGGTAGCCAGCATTTTTAACAGGCTGATTGCATTCCTCATTTTCTAAAATTGTCTGCAAGCCAGATATTTCTTACATTTTCTTCCTGATCTGCTAATTCCTAAGTTTCCTTAAAACTACTTGAGTAGTACCTGTATTTATGTGGGACATTCTCTAACATTCCCTAAGTGCCACCTGAGTTCTCTCCTCATAACAATCCACAATATATTGCTGATAGACTCAAAAGGAGAAATCCATCAGCAGTTTCTTGTGTTTTACCCTTAGGTATGGATGGTATACCCATTTGGACCCCAGAAATATTTGACAAATCGTCTTTTTTTTTTGTCTGTTACAAGAGCTAAAATATATTCTATCTAAAAATACACATGTATTGTTTTAAAGATTATAAAAACATTTTCATTGTAAATATCGTCCTTTTCAGATTATTTTTAAGTTCAAGCACACTAAAAGAAAAAATAAATAAAATGGGAAGGAAAGCACATCATTTCATACCTGTTAAATAATCTAGCCCCTCCAGCAGTTTCTTTTCTCTGGAAAAATCTAAAGCAAAGTTTTCAAAGGCATCATTAAAATTGATGTCTGGAATCAGAACTTGAGAAGAAGCAGTTGCCATAGCGACCCTGAAAAAGAGAAAAGTACATCAATATACATCAAAATAGGCTTGCAACCTTCATCCAGTGCTTGATTTCTGGTGTAACAAGGTGAAAATAAATGACTTGTAAGGCTTGGTTCATTAAGTGAAAATATCATATCTATGCTTTTCCAGTGGAAACCATTTAAATTCTAATCATCAGGAAGCAATTTCAAGTCATACCATATTTATTCACATATGTTCACCCCTCAAACACACTCCCCCATCCTGTCTTAATTTTGAGAAGTAAATAGAAGATTTTTTCCCCTCTGCATCATTTTCCATCTGGCAGGCAGCATCAGAACTGACCTCTGAAGGCTTGGTAAGAGCAATTTTAGTGAATTTTTTTCCTCTCTTTCTCAATTTTTAAAATCTAATTTAAAAGCCAGCATGCTGAGTTAACACCTTCCTCTAAACACTGTCCTTTATCTTATCTTTTATTATATTTATATTTAATTTTATTTTCTTTAATTGTATAATGCTATGGTAGTTTTATCTCCTCGACTAATTCTAAGAGTCTCAAGAGTGGGGTTCATATTTTGTACCTCTTATATCTTCCATGGTCCCTAACACAGTGTTGGACACATAGTGAATAAATAATTATTGAATGAATAACTGAATCACTAACAGCAACAACATGATTGCTAACAGGTTTTGAGTGCTTAGTATATACAAGGCACCGTGCATGCACTTTATATACATTACCTAATTTATTTTACTCCTTACCATAACCCTGTGCAGTGAATGTTATTTCCATTTTGCAAATAAGAAAGTTGACAATTTGAAACACTAAGTAACTTGTCCAAGATCATGCAACCACTAAGGGTCAGAAATATAATTGAATCCATGTCCATCTGATTCTAAAATCTGTAACCTTAATCATTTAGACTGTTCCTTTTTAAAAAAATTGAGGTGTATTTTATATACTTGGGCAATTCTTAACCATGGTTACCCACCAGAATTATCCGGGGGAGCTTTTACCAATATATACATGTTTAAGTCTTATGCCAGACCTTCTAAATCAGAGCCAATGAAGATCCTTGCTCATGCAAATGACAGGATAGAAAGAAACATTAACTTGGCAACAATATACAGGTTAGAGTGCAGGGAAGAGGCATTGAATATAGGAAGACCAGAGAGAGAACTTCTACGGTGAACTAGTTGTAAAGGGGTGAGGTGTTGAACAAATACATATCCTCATGCATGTATACCCCGCTACACAACTACCAACAATATCTCTTGGCTGTTTCTGAAAATAGAATTGTTTCAGGAATAAACTACAGGCCAGTATAAACAAATGAAAGACTAAATCAGTACAATCTTTAGGTCTCATATTGAATAGCCCATCTTCCAAGATTTGGTGAGTAAGTAGACAGTAACCTTTTTAGGGTAAGACTTAAGCCAGAAAATTGGCTCATGAAATTTCTTCCTGGTCTTCTCAATTTTCTTTCTTTCTTTCTTCCATCCATTCATCCATCCATCCATCCATCTAATACTTATTATGCACAACTAATGTGTCAGGCACTGTGCTGGGTACTGAAGATACACAGGGAGAACAAGTTTGTTCTCACAGAGCTCACAGATTGTGAAGGAGAAAGACATTGAATAGGCAATAGAAGTGCTGCTACAAAAGGAGTAGAGCATACACAAGAGTCACCTAGCAGGGACTTGGAAGCTAAGGGAAATCTCCCTGGAGGAAGTTAATTTTAAGCAATGACCTACATGATGAGTAGGAGTTAAAGACTATGTGGATATGTGTGCATTCTCTCTTGCCTGAAGGCTGGAGAAGGAGGCAAGGTAATGAGGGCATTGTAGGCCATAATACAAACTTTGGACTTTATCCAAAGAATAATGGAATCTACTGAAGCATTTTAGGCAAAGGAGTGATATGCTCAAATTTATCTTATAAGAAGAATACTGTGGCTGCAGTGGATGGACTGGAAAGTGTCAAAATTAGAAGCAGGCAGACCAGATTTTAAGGTGTCTAGGAATGAGCAGAAAGTAAAATGATGACAGGAATACAGACAAAACAGAAAGAGTTAATTCACAAAACAGCAAATCAGCCAATAAATATATTAAAAAGCCCAACTACATGAGAAATCGAAGAAATGTAAATTAGATTACAAAGAGTGAAAATATAGAAGCTTTTTATGACTATATTAAATAATGCCCACATATTTTTACTAGGACTGAAATTGATACACATTTGGGAGGCCAATTTAGCTTTAAATATCAAAATAGTTCAAAATGTAAATATTCTTTGACACCACAGTTCAACTTCATAAAATTTTTACTAAGGAACTAATTGAGATGTACGCAAAGATACAACTACAGGGCACTCAAAACACCATATGTAACTTAATTGTCTAAAAATGGAGACTGAGCTAAGTAATGTATTATACATCAAAAGATGAAATATTATGAGGCTATTGGCAATCGGGTTTTACAGTAATATCCAATGACATGGGGAAAAGATTGTGATATATTAAGTTTCAAATGTAGGATATAATACAATATATGCAGCATGATCTTATGTTTGTGAAATATATATAAATATAAATATTGGGATACTGTATTCTCAAATGCTAACAATGACTGAAAGGTTAAGAATGAGGTAAAAGTGACATTGTGGTATGTGTGACTGTCTGTTTCTGTGAGCAAACCGCAACATTAGCATCTTGTTGCAGTCTCTCAAGGCCTTGATCTTTTTTAGGGATAATATAATAAGTGTCATTTTTAAAGGGGAGGGGATACCTCTCTCAGCTAAAATTTCATTTTAACTGAAGTCCGTGGTGCCTTAACACAATACAATTAATAATGAAGGGTGTGACTTTCAGACCCTGCGTGAGACCAGTGAGAAAGATATTTAAGTTGTGTAGATGATTTTCAAATCATACCACATAGATAGCTATATTTTCCACATACACCACAGGCTATGAAAAGAGCCTATGAAAAGAAGATTTAGATAGAAAGTTGGGAAACATCAATATCTAGATGGTAATTGAAGCTTTAGAGCTAATGAGTTTACAACAATTAGAATGTGTCGTAAAAGAAGAGAGTAGCCTTAGACAGAATCACAAAGAACAACAGCATTAAAAGAATAGGTCGAGGAAGAATTGTTCACAAAGGCAAAAGAAACCAGACAGGAAGAAACCCAAGAGTGTTCATGGAAGCTAAGGGTGGAGAAATTTCAAGTAAAAATGGTCAGTGGGGACAAATGCTACTAAGAGATCAAGAAGGGTGAAACAGTATGATTAAACAAATTAGTGCCTATTACATTTAGCAAAAAGTATTCATTTGGTGACCTTGAAAAGAACACTTTCAGTGGTGTGGTAGCGAAAGAAAATATTTCTGAGGGTTAAAGAGTGGGGACAATTAAATACAGTGGTTTAAATACATGTTTTATCTCCGCTTTCATGAAAACTCACTGAAATGATAGTAAGAGTGAAACGTCATAAGTCCACAAAGACAAAGAATGGAAAAAGAGATGCCAACAAGTAAGAGATTGTCAACAAATGTGTGGAAGCTAGAAAGGGATGGATGTGTGGTAACTAGCAACAGACCAGAAAAAGCTGGATCAGGAAACCAACAACATCAACCTGATTTAGTGCCACGGAAGTTGAAAGTTTGCATGAGGAACAGCTAGACCCCCAGATTCACTAAGCCAGACTTCCCTTCCCTCATCCTTGCAAGAGATGTGAGGTTTACTTTCTACAGAGCTTTGACTTTATATTAAAAGCATTCATAAAACTCTCAGCTTCCTTTCCCTGCTTGGTTCCCAGAATCCTGGCAGCCAGGCATATACTTTCCACCCCCTATCAAAAACAGAAGATCAGAGAATTTTTTCCAAGCTAAACTGACCCAAGAGACAACACCTACAGAACTGACACTTGCAGTCCCTCAATAAAAAGCTGGCATTCTACAAAGTTCACCAAGAGGCAAATTGCCCCCATGCCCCTCAAAGCTTCTAGTCATCTTTTAATACTTAAATTCAAACAAGTAGCCAAAAGCTAACCAGACATTTAGGGAAAGATAGCAACTTAAACAAACTAACAGAGAAAAGAAACTTGAAGGAAACCAAGGCAATGCAGGGTTTAGAAGAAAACTTTTAAAAATGATAATATTTTTGGGAAGAAAAACAAATAGTTTGCATCCACAGAACGCTAAAAGAAGAAACAAAGATCAAGTAAGAATTAGCTCTTGTAAATAAAAATATAAATGCCAAAATTAAAATTTTAATAGAAAGATTAGATGAAAAATTAAGAAAATATCTTAGATAATAAAACAAGAATACAAAGTCATGGAAAATAGAAAACAAAAGATTTTTTGGATTAAAGGGGAAATCTAGGATGTCCATCATCTGACTAATTAGAATCCCACAAAGAGAGGAGAGAATAGAAGGAGGAAATTATTAGCAAATAATACACGAAAATTTTCTGGAACTAGAGGTCACCAGTCTTCAGATTGGAAAGACTTACTGAGTGCCCAGCAAAAATGAATGATAAAAGACCCACAATCAGGCAAATATTGGTGGAATTTCAGAAAAACTGGGTTACAGATAAGATTTTAAAAGCTTCTAGATTTTAATGGCTATTATCAAAAAGATAAATAGATAACAGGTGTTGGCGAGAATGTAGAATTAAATTAGTGCAACCATTATGGCAAATGGTATGGAGGTTCCTCAAAAAAACTAAAAATAGAACTACCATATGTTCCCACTTCTCAATATATATACAAAGGAATTGAAATCAATATGTTTAAGAGATATCTGCACTCCCCTGTTCACTGCAGCATTATTCACAGTAGCCAAGATATGGAATCAACCTATGTGTCCATCAGCAAATAAATGGATAAAGAAAATGTGGTATATACAAGGGTACTTCAAAAAAATCATAGAAAAATAGAATTAAAAGATAATTCTAATCTTTCTATGAACTTTTTGAAGCACCCTCTTATATACAATGAAATACTATTCAGCCTTTAAAAAGA